GCTATGGCATTTTCTTGACGACAAATAACCCAGAGTTACATTACAATTTTTTCTTCCACTGGGTCATATATATATAAAACGCCCGTTCAGAATTAAACGGAAGTTCTTTATTTTTTCAGGACTTTCTTCTTCCCAGTTCTACACATTAAGTAACGGGTCAAGGCCGATTTTAATGTAATCTCCCACGCACAACACGCGCGAGAGTCAATAGTAAATAGTATCCTTTATAGAGCACGCTACAGTTCATGAATTCTCAACAACACTCACGGAATAGAAGCGATACACTGAAGTAAATGACTGCTCGTTCGGGATCTCGTACAAAACTTACGTTCATGCAAAGTGTTACAGCTCGACAATTCCGTTGCTATGGTAACATGAAAGTGGGTAATGATGATGAAAATCTCATGCTTACAAAACTCTTTTGAGTACACACTAAATATTTGTAGGTTTAACGGGTTGTGTAGAAGAAGAAGAAGAAGAAGAAGAAGAAGAAGAAGAAAGCTAACCCTGTAACAGACTGTGGAGGTCTATGGGAATGTGGGACGTCGAGGCTCGCATATTTCCTAGACAATCGGTCCACGCGCCAGCCCCTCTTTACCTCCAAGAAAATACATGCTACTGAATTTTGTTAGAAGCTGAGTCGATCCCAGGGTCATAGTGAGGCTGGGTGGATTGATTGATTGATCAGTAACTGTCAGATGACAGGTCCACAGTCTCTTCCAAAACAGTTCCTCCACTTAATGTGATCTTCTGTTTTTGGAAAGAGACTATCCAGGAAAAGTGATAATGTGGTAGTTTTTCCATTTGCTTTCCACATCGCAGTACAACAGCCGTTCAAACCACTCTGGTCACGCCTGTTGCTATACGAACTTGAACCATCTCGAGCATCATTTGTTCTGTGCTTCAAGTCGCTGCTGATGACGCTGCTTCCGGCATCAGTTTTTGGTTTTTGGTGTCTCTCTTCGTCTGATGCCTACCCTTTGACCTGTCCAGCAAGGGAGGCCCTGCCAGTAGCTATGCTACCGCTGGTATAGCTCTCAGGGGGGATTAGGAAAACTAAAAAATCCAACAACCTAATCGAGAATCGAGCCCTCGACATTCCGGCTTGTAGCACAGTGCCTCAACTAACTACGCTAATGCGTGGTCCTTAAAGTAATATCCCTGTGCTTAACTAGTTAAGCAGCATCTCGTGAAAACATATTGGGGAGTGGAGGTACAGCTCCACCATTCTTGACCTCGGCACTAGATGGAGGTGAGTGACCGACTTCATCCCTTGACCGCTTCACTCCCGGGGAAAGAGCCCCCGGTATCCATTTGATAGGAGTCTGGGTGGGCCCCAGTGCCAGTTTGGACGACGTGAAGGAGACAAAATTCTTGACCCTGGCGTGACTGGACCTCCGACCCTTCGGTCGTCTAGCCCGTAGCCAGTTGCTATACTGACTACGCTATCCCGGTTCAGCAATAATAAGCCACCCTTTATATAGAAACATATATGTATATCAAAGCCGAACATACTGGCCGTGAAGTCTAAGGCACGAACTGTCTTCGCTCGCTCGAACGCTGGGATCGTGGGTTCGAATTCCACTCAAGGCATGGATGTCTGCATTGTGTGCGTTTATTGTGTGTTTGCGTTGTTCTGTGTGCAGGAAGAGGCCTTGTGATGGGCTGATCACCCGTCCAAGGGGTCCTACCGAATGTGACCAGGATAAAGAACCAGAACAAGCGGCCGAGACCCAGAAAAGGGCTGTATAGCCACAATAATAATAATAATAATAATAATAATAATAATAATAATATAAGTGGAGGAACTGTTTTGAAAGAGACTGTGGACATGTCGTCTGACAGATTACTGATGAATGAATGAATATCAATGCCGGTCACGGTAGCCGAGCGGTCTAAGGCATGCACTGTCTTCGCTCGCTTGGAAACCGGGATCGTGGGTTCAAATTCCACTCAGGGCATGGATGTTTAGTTTGTGTGTGTGCTTTTTTCTGTGTCTGCGTACAGGTAGAGGCCTTGCGACGAGCTGATCACCCGCCCAAGGAGTCCTACCGAATGTGTAATATCTAGAAAAACCGAAGTGAACGGAGAAATTCATGGGGGTGGCCTAGGCCCACTGGGGCTGTAGTGCCAAGGAAAAAAATATAATAACATATCAATAGGCCTCTATGTGAGTTATAATTGAGGATATGTCCTAATTCAAATTCATTACCCATTCGTAAATTTCATGTATTTCCCTCAAAATCGGGCTACAAACTCCACTTAAGATGGTGGGCGAACGAGGTACGCGTGCGTTCACAAATAAACAGACCTACACGGATGGTAGGGTGACAGAACCAATGTGCAGCACAAAGCGGTAAGAGTCTGACTATTAAAGGATCTCACGAATTTTCGCCTTAACTCTTCTCTACCATCTTCAGTTAATTATTATTTGTAATTCTCAATTTCTCTTAAGGAAATCACTCAGCAGATGTTTGACTAAATGAGCTGCCCGAAGAGATCACATCGAAAGCGGAAGTTTGTTAGCTTCCGTTTGAATTATAGATGCCTATCTTCTGACAGCACATTTATCTTCGTCAAGTTAGCAGACGCAATTACCGTGCACTGCCTCGTTCACCAATTTGAGCAACATAACAGATTTATGGTTCACAGTATGCAAGAAAGTAGTCAAATGCTATGGCTTTATGTATGCAACAACAAAGAACGCAATTGTGCTTACATGCTAGGGTTCTAAATACGTGGCAATTTAATAAGATACCACGGAAAAAAGTACGCAGTAGGGAAGGTAGTTGTCACGAACTACATTAAGCAAGAGTGCAATTGGATGATATGATTTGAAGTGCACTGCAATAGTTAGATCCGATGGTTCAAATTACGCAAAAAAGATTACATACTACAGTTTAAAGTACGATAAAAATGTTTGATGCTATGGTTTAAAGTAAGCAACAAAAAGTAGAATCTATGGTTGCAATAGTTAGATGCGATGATTTATAGCAGGCAACAGAATATTAGATGCTTCCTAGTGGAAGCACTGTTACAGTGCTTTACAAATCCATTCACGTTCAACCACATGATACCTACTGACCTCAATACAAGATGGAGGCGAGTAGCCGGCTTCACGCTCCGACGGCTTTACCCCCGTGTAAAGAACACCGGTACCGATTTATAAAAGGCTGTGTGTGTTCCAGAGCCGATCTGGACGCTGTGGAATAGAGAAAAATCACTTGCCCTTCCCGAAAATCGAAACCCGGCCTTCCAGTCCCCTCGCTGTACCGACTGAGCTATCCCAGATCCCTCTCAAAGTCTATGCAAATATAATAAGTTAAAAATAAGTCCCGATTCTGTCAGTATACACATATTTTAAAGTCACAGAACGTCTGAAGTCAGTCGAGCGCGCAGTTAAAGGGCGTGATCAACATGAATCCGTATCCACCTCAGAAGCATCCTGACATCTGAACTCTCCAAAGAACGCAACATTAACGTGACACGTGACAGTACGTTGGTATCGAAACCCGTTCATCTAACAACAAAACCTTTAATATGAATTCGGTATAAAATCGAAGCATTAAAAGTAGGTTAGGTCCAACTAGAGCCGATCCCAGTGGCCTTGCAGTCTAAAGCATGAACTGTCTTCGACCGCTCGGACACTGGGATCGTGGATTCGAATCACACTCCAGTCATGGATGCCTGTCTGCTTTTAAGTAGTCTGTGTTATCCTTTGTAGGTAGCGACCTTGCGACAGGCTGATCCCGTGTCCAAGGAGTCATACCTTCTGTCTTAGGATTCAGAAACTGAAGTGAAATAAAGCGTTTCATGGATGCCGTGTGCTCAAAAGTGGAAAAAAAAAACGAGAGAGAGAGAGAGGGGGGTGTCCAACTTGGAATATCGAAGAATTTCGAGCCAAAATAAAAGAATGTTAAAAATTGTGACCTAGTATATTTTAAATACTTCCTGAGGATAGACCAGCTTGTCGTAGCTGTAACGCTCTCTACTTGAGACTTCCGCCTCTCAATATATGGAATATTATTTCAAAATTAGCTACAAATTCTCCTTCCCAATCCTTACTTACCATTCATTACTATCACGAAATTTGACACTACACAGAATGTTCAGCTGAAACGGAGTCGTTAAATAAGGGACAAGTGATAAAGTTTACTTCAGGTACAGACCATGAACTGTCGGAATAGAATTGTCAGTGGGCACTACCCCCACCCCACTCCTTCGCTGTGAGGTAACATCTCTGTGCCGATGGTCAGTATTCTGTCTTCCACTTTCCTATCGACTCCGCATCCGAAACATCCTTTCCCCTCCCAACTGACAGCACGTGAAACTGCAGTTGATATCGTTCAGTGAACTAAGCAATAAGGGGAACCATGTCCGAACCATAACTAACTTTAGTTCTGACGTACTGTACAATATTTTAGGGCGGTAGTAAATTCTCACACGAAGCAGCAAGGAAGAATTAGGAAGTTAGAGCAAAAATGACGATGTTGCATGTGGTACTCTTTATAAAATATCTAATTACATGGTTTTAAAAATCTCTCTTCTGTTTCTTATAAATTTTAATTGTAATGTAAAATAAAACGCCAAACGGCAGCAAAACTTCAGTCCGCCCTGCCTTCACTGCAACCCAAACACCGATTACATCTCCGGTTTCGTTATGCCAGGACCGAATTCACGGGGAATTCTCCTTGAAGAAGGAAGACACGTGGTGGATTCATTCATCAATATCTCTACAGTCCTTGCTGGGCCTTGGAAGCTATTTCAGTTTCGTAATCCTATATATAGTCGGTAGCACTCCTTGGAGGGGGCATCAGCTCGTTGCAACGCCGCTACCTACACGCAGGACAACATAAACACAAAATAAACGTACACAGATATCCATAACTCGAGTGGGATTAGAACCCACGACCCCAGCATTAGAGAGGGCGCTTAGGCAGCACGGCCACTGTGACGGGCGATGCGCGATGATACAATACAGAGAATCATTGCACACTCACGTGTCATCTGCTCTTGTTGGGGTGGGCCGCCAACTTCTTTCCGCTCTGTAGCGCTGCACAGTAATTCTTGCTTCGATCTGTGCATGGGCAGGCTCGTGAACCTCGTGAACTAGACTTGAATCTTGTACTCGTATCTCCGAGGGCCGCAACTCAACTACGCAGAAAATTCCTATAAGACATCAACTCAAAAGGAACAGGCAAACAATCAAACAGGGAAAAATAATCCCCAAATTCAAAACAAAAGCAAACTGAAGCAGAATTTGAAACCTGACCCAAAGTTTATAATGGACATTGGCTGCAATACATTCTATTGAAAAGAGGCCAGGATACCTCATTCGGTATAGCGACTGCCTACGGACTGGACGACCGAGAGGTCTGAAATCAAGTCCTGGTGGGGATAAGAATTTTCTTTTCGCCACGTTGTCCAGATCGGCTTGGGGTCCACCCAACCTCCTATCCGATGGGTACAGAGAGCTCTTTTCCGGGGGTTAAGCGGCCGGGGCGTGAAACTGACCACTAAAATGAAACAAACTCCATGGCCTGCAGTCCGAAAGCGAACTATACCGACCGAGCAACCGCCGTTTGTCGACGAAGTTAGTGCCAACTTCAGCGGATACAGGGTGTTGCGTAGTCAGCAAAACGAATCCCCACAGCTGATAATTTCGGAGTTGACTACTCACCTCCAACTATTGCCGAGGTCAAGACAATATGGATCTATACATCCACTTTCCCATACGCCTTCATGGCCTAGTGCTTAAGTGGTTAAGCACAGGGACAGCTTTACCTTGACCTTTAACTGTCTGTTGAAATATTCATGTCGGTGGGGTGGAAAAGTGGGGGAAGCTGTACAACTATCCGCTCACAGAGCGAAAGAGGATTGGGGCAGACAGTAATTAGGGATTACCGCTTGCGATCGGAAACAAGATTGGAAAAGTACAGAGTGAGCGTATGTCGGAAAGAATTATGAGTGGTACACTCTCATCCGCGCTCCTCGAGTCGCTTATGAATAAGAAATGTAGCTGATATGATAAGTGGGAGTCTGTTTATCCCCGTTTCTTCCACGTTGGAGCACAGGGTATCCATGAAACTCTTGTTTCACTTCAGTTTCTCAGACGGGAGGGCTCCTTGGATGGGAGATCAGCCCGACGCAAGACCGCTAGCTACACAAACACAGAAAAAACACAAACATCCATGCCTTGTGTGGGATTCCAACCCACGATCCCAGCATTCGAGGGTGCGGAAACGTAGCCACTGAGATCACAAAATGTGTGAGTGATATTCTGCAATTCTAAAATTGCCTCATATTAGATAAACTAGATGATAAGAGTACGATGAATTCTTCTCTTTAACAAGTAAAATTCACATACAAGTATTCAATGTCATGTGATACATAAGTTGGACTATGAAAATCGTGGTCTTTGGGTTATATCGCCGCATATTTCGGAGATAGGCCTACGTTTCGAAGAAACATATCACCTCAGACTTTAGGGCCGAGGAGCAAGCCAAGCAAGAAATCACAAGACGGAAGCACCAAGCTTGGCTTAATCTTCGATCGTGAAGATGGAAGCGATATGTTCCTCCGAAATCCGGAATCTCTCCATAATACAAGAAACTACAATCCCGAAGACTATATGGTTTATAGTGGTTGAAATTGTCGAGAAGTCAAATCTATAAGCTTATTCATTCATTCTTTTTTTTTATTGCTAGTGGGTGGGACTAAGTCCATTGTACTTCGGCCACTTCTGGCCTATTGTACCAGCCCCAGATGATAGGTGAGGGTGATTGTGGAGCAACTGGTGGAATGAAGATTGGCAGGGGAAACCGAAGTACTCCGAGAAAACCTGCCCCAGCGCCACCTTGTCCACCACAAATCCCACTTGACCAGACCCGGGATTGAACCCGGGCCGCCGCGGTAGGAAGCCAGCGACTAACTGCTTGAGCTATGGAGCGGCCTTCATTCATTCTTTATAGTCAACGGCTCTGCAGCTTATGTTGGGCACTCTCGGCTTTTTTCTCTTTCGTAATCCTATCTACGGTCAGTAGGAGTCCTTGGAGGGGGATCAGTGCGTCGCAAGACCGCTACCTACACACAGAACAGAAATCCATAATAAACATACACAGACTTACAGGCCTCGAGCGGGATTCGAACCTACGATTCTAGTGTTTGAGCAGGCGTAAACAGTTCATGTCTCCGCGGCCACTGTGATCGGTTCTATAGGCCTATACTAAATTTTTTTCATTCATCAGTAATCTGTCATACGACAGGTCCACAGTCTCTTCCAAAACAGTTACTCCACTTAATGCGATCTAGAGCTTTCTCCTTCAAATAAAAATATCCTCTTCTGTCCCCAAGGTCGTCCAGCATCTTCTTACGTCTTTTTCCTCGTCTTCTGGTCGCATACATGGTATCTCTGTTTTTGGAAAGAGACTAATAATTAAGAGACTAAATTAATATGTCTAAAAATAAGTCTTCACTGTTCACACTTTTTGCACGAACTGAAGGAAAATTAAATGTAGCTAAAGGGTGCTCTAAATAAAAAATACCATCCAGCATCATCCACAATCGGGGTTTGGAACGCACGCGGTAGCGCAATTAGTTAAGGCAAAATGCTACAAGTTGGAAGGTCGCAGGTTCGATTCCCGATGGGATTTTTCAATTGACCTAATCCTTTCAGCCGCACTATATCCCTGGAGCCGACTCAGCCTCTAAGAGAAATGGCAAAAAAAGTAAGGTGAAATTATCCCTATAACAGGCCGTGAAGCTGTAAGACATCGAGGCCCATATATTTTCTGGATAATCGGATCACGCATGGCGGTGAGGCTGTCAACCTTACGCACCGGCCGCCCTTTACCCTTCAAGAAAATTCCTGGTACCCATTTCTGTTAGAGGTTGAGTCGACCCCAGGGCCATAGTTCGTCTTCTAACAGAGATGTGTAGCAGGAAGACTCCTGAGGTGTAAGGGCGGCCGGGGCGCAGGACTGACAACATCACCGCAGTCTGTGAGCTGATTATCTAGAAAATGTGGGAACCTCGACCTCTCACAATCCTATGGGCCTCCACGGTCCGTTACAAGGATAGTTTTACCTGCGAAGTTTTCCCGAAACAACTGATGTACACGTATCTCTATTCGTCTACTACATTTACTCAATAGCCATCGAGGACAAAGGACTTCGGCAGCATTAACAGCTATTTTTTATTTGATATATATTTGTATGCCGATCACAGTGCCGGTCACGATAGTCGAGCGGTCTAAGGCATGCACTGTCTTCGCTCGCTCGGAAGCCGGGATCGTGGGTTCGAATCCCACTCAGGGCATGGATGTTTTTGTGCGTTTTTCTGTTTGTATACAGGTAGAGCCCTTGCGACGAGCCGATCACCCGCCCAAGGAGTCCTACCATATGTCTAAGATCTAGTAAACCGAAATGAAACGGAGAGTTTCATGGAGGTAGGCCTAGGCCCAAACGAGGGCTGTAGCGCCAATGAAAAAAAAAATGCCGATCACAGTGGCCGCGCGCTTTAAGGCATGAACTGTCTTCGCAAGCTCGATTGTTGGGATTGTGGGTTCGAATCCCATTCCAAGGCATGGATGCCTATGTGCGTTTATTCTGAATTTGTGTCGGCCTGTGTTTAGGTAGCTGTCTTGCGACGGGCTGATCGCTCGTCCAAGGGGTCCTACCCTCTGTGTAAAAATTATTACGAAACTAAAGAGAGGCCAGGGTCCAACAAAGGGCTGTAGAGATATTAATGAATGATACGTGTAGATATATAAATACAGATGGTAAGAAACTTCGGGTTTGTTGAGAGAACCGTTCTGATCATTCGGCAATCTTCCCTCACTTCCGGTACATCAATATTGACTTTTAAATATACCAATTAAGAAAAGTGCACATGAAGTCACTTTATTTTAATTATCTTGGAAACCTTTAAGACGTTAAGAAAACAAATGTACTAGAACTACAACTTGTGTTTCATATCCCTCTACAGTCTAGTTTGGAAGATTTCTTCACTCTGATAAATACGTAGGGACCTGACCTCGAAGCACACGGATAGGTATGTGTAATCTTCATGTAGAGCGTTGATTAGGTTAGGTTGTTCGATTTTAACCAAATCTGAGTGTACAAAGTTTAAACGGCGTTAAGTAAACAAATATATCTAATATAATCTTGACTTTATGAGTTCCTGTTCTCACAGCGGCGGTTATGAAGAGATTTTTTATCTTCTGCGATATAACGCCGTGTAGCCTGCTAAAAGTCAACCGACGTTTCGGAGGAACATGTCGCCTAAATCTTCAGGGTTGAAGAATAAGCCAAGTAAAGTATAGGCATGAACAGGTAGCAAGTATAGAGAGGCCCAACACAGAGTCGCGTGCTCTGTCTGCTGTCTGCTTCATGCTGGTTCCTTTCTTCGTTCGTTCTTGGACACTGAAGATGGAGGCGATATGTTTCTCCGAAATATCGGTGGACTTTCAACAGACGCAGGAGACAGAACACTTCATTCTTTAATCTGTCCGTAACGGAGCTGCCTGTGACTTCAGACTGACAAGCGCTGAGAACGCAGCAATTGAGCCACGGTGAGGTAATAAGGCATAGCATTGCGTTCTGCTTCGTCTGCAACAAACTGTACATAGAGAAAACGAAACGTATTCATTTCTTTCCACTTCACAGAGCTTTATTTAATATGCAATTCAGAAAAATGGAGGCATTATGTTTCCTCCAGAACTCTTAAGTCGGCGCTGTATTGTAATTAAGTAAACCAAGCGAAGATGTAGGCGAAAGCATGAAAACATTTGAAAGGAGAACTGTGAATAATGAATGACATTCGTGAAAGGGAAGTTAAATTAAAAGTCAGTCTTCTGATGTCTTGTAGGAAAGCCATTCGGTTCTTAAAGCTGATGTAAAGTAAAAGTGAAGTTGTCTCTGTGCTTAACTAATTAAGCAGTAAGCTGTGAAGACGTATGGGGAAGTGGATGTATACATCCACGTTTTCTTGACCTCTGCACTAGTTGGGCGTAATGGTCAGCTTTACGCACGGGCCGATTTACCCTCCAGGAGAAGGGCCGTAGATAACCATTAGATAGGAGGATTTGTGGGCTCCAGAACCGACCTTGACGACGTGGAAAAGGGAAAATTCTTGACTCTACGGGAACTCTGACC